GATTCAAGGATCTTTGTCTAGGAACGCCATACGCAGCTCATATTTTAAATTTGTTAGTTTCTCGTTGAAAGCTTTCTTTTGACCCGAATATGTCTAAGGTTTTCGCTCAACAGGTCACACCCTTCCATTGTTAGCTAATATTTTTTTATTACTTCAGAGTAGAATCGATCAGATGAATATTTAATCATGAAGAAAAAAACATTGTTTCTTAAAATTGAATCTCTTACTAATTTTAAACAAAGTTTTTCAATTTTAGCATATTCTATAGGTATGAAAGTTAGAAGTTCCATTTTCTAATTATTAATGATGATAAATTCTTTTTGACCATAAGTCCCTCTAATTTTACCAAGAAGAGAATATTTTTAATTTCAAGTGAAATCTTTTCACTTTCACAAATAAAATTCTCGTACAATTTTTTAAATCTCGCAGCATTGAAGCTATCATAAGTCTTCCTATTTACATTTGAAACGTAACGATCAACCATAAGATATAGTCTTTAATTTTGAGTTTCTTCTATCATAAATTTTACTTACTTTTTAGTGTTATCATCTCTATACGTACGATAGTTACAAATCATTCGATGTTTGTGCTCGAGCCGAAATTCTCTGTATTCAACCGAGTGTAGCCATACTCAAACTGAAATATTTAAGAGTAGTTGACGATGTATTACAATTTGATTGGTTAGAAGCTCCATCGGTCAAGAGTCTTCAAGATTCGATCATTCGTTTAAGATGGCTAGGCGCTCTCGATCTACAGACGGACAATTTAACCGATTTGGGTCAAAGTATGGCAATACTCGGTCTTGATCCTATGCTTTCAACAATGATTTTAGCCGGAAAAACGTATAACTGTCTCAATTATACAATAGCTCTAGCTGGTATGTTGACGGTGGCTCAGAATATCTGGTGGTGTGGCAAGGATGATCGGTTGAAAAAACTCAGAGACGAGAAGCAAGCTGTGTTCATATCAGGTTCAGGTGTCGCTGGTGATTTCATTTTACTGTTGCGTATCTATCTAACATGGTATGGGTTAGGTGATGATAAAGACTTGAAAAACGAATGGTGTCGCAAGTATATGATCAACGGAAAATCTCTGAAACTTGCTAGCAATTTTATTCGGGAAACTGCATCTCAGATTCATCACAAATTTCAAATAATTTCTACCGAATTGGATGATGATCTTATCAATCGTATCAAACGCTGTATATGTGATGGTTTCTTTGAAAATTTGGCCATTGCCAAAGGATCTACACGTGGTAGTTACCAACTAACAAACAGCATCTTGCCTACCACTGGACAGTTGAAACGATGGTCAACAGTGATACTTGACCAGCAGCCAGCTAAGTTCATACTCTATTTCGAAATGCTTAATCTTAATGATATCACCTTACTATGTGTGGCATGCCCTATTGATCTGGAATGGCTTAGCCAACCGTGGCTCAATTCTATACCACATATAGCTCAGCTCTGTACACTTGAAAGCTATGATTTTAAGTATATTGGGCCTTCACTAATGCTTTCATTGGTCGGTAAAGGTCGTTGGAAATTGCCAAATCTGGAACAGTCCTTGCAAGTAAATTTTGAGGCTAATTATAGAGAAAACATCTTGACAATGTGGGGCCAACCCGAGAAACTTGCTACAGCAAAAATTCAGCTTCAACGGATAATAGATCAAGAAAGTAAAAAGCTTCATGCCGAAGTACAGGAATACGAGATCGTTGGTTCGACTAGAATTTTGCTGGGCACTGGCGCTGAACCTAAGGTGGTGTTGATTAACGATGAATTTGTCAAAGTTCTGCTCACTAATCTGCCAATTGGTTTTACTGAAGAACAAATAGAGCATAAATGCCAGTCGTACGGCCAAGGTAAAACTACTAACAACTCATACAAAACATCTAGACAGAAAAAGAAAGAGAAAAAAAGAGAAAGATGAATTTGTTAACAGAGTTTTAAGTCTATTTTTCATTATAGTTCGTCATGTGACCATGATTCAATCGAGTACAAGTGATAACGCGGCCTTGGCTACCTATTTCACATGTGATGACGCTCGAAGAGCCGTTATTCAATTGTCACATGAAATTTGGGATGGGCAAGAAATAAATGTCAGCCCCAACTATGCACATACATCGGTGTATGCAAGTATGCAAAATTGCAAGATCAAAGCTCTATGGTTTATGACCGAGTCTGAGGGTCATGGTCGCGTACACTTCAGTCAACAGCAACCAGCACAGAAGGCTTACGCATGGTTCAAGAAAGAGCTTGGCTTTAATTGTCGAATTCAATTACACACAACGAAGCCAACAATTCAATTATCTTGGCCACTATCACTTCAAAAGTGCCAAGCATTAATTCAATTTCGAACGGCCGAAGAAGCACAAGTGGTAAATATTGAATTAGGGTTTGAAAAACTAAAAGTTTTTGTCTTTATTTGGCTCCTATGTAATCTTACAAATTCTTGAGTATAAATTTGTATTCGGAGAATCGAAAGCGAAACATCTAAACTATTACTCCTTCCTAAAAGGTTAACTGTATTAAATTTCATTGGATTAGCTAAATATTCCATGATGCTAAATCGTCTAAACACTGTTTTCTAGGTTTCACGACATCGCGACGAAGATGGAGGTTATATCCAACTGTGCAGAGATAGAAATAGTACAGTGTGGGTACAAAATCTTCCATACGACATTAATGAAGAAGACCTGAAAAAACGTTTCAGAGGATGTACCGGTATAGAGCTGAAGAAGGATGATCAAGAACATGAAGTGAAGAATATTGACGAGATTAAAAATTATCTTTGCAGGTTATTCAGCGAATATTCATCATTTCAGCGTGAATCAGTATTCGTTCAACCATGGGCATTCAATGATCAAATTGAAGCCTATGTGCAATTTTCTAATGAGCAAGAAATGCAAATCGCTATTAATGAAATAGATGGCAAAGTAGCAACGAACAACACAGATACAATGCGACTTCTCACTTATAGACAACAGTCGACAATGTTAGAAGACAAGAAAAAGGAAAAGGAGTATACGCGAGATGATTTCGTGATCGAACTTTTTCAGTTGCCATCTGATATGGACGAAGAAGTTCTTATTGAAAAGCTCTATCAAAAGCATCTAACTGATTTTATGACCAACGTGATTATTTTTCGCAAGATGCTACAACCAAGCGATTCATCAGACAATCCCAACGAAGCAGCTGATGAAAACATGATAAATATAGTGAAACTCCAATCTCTCTTCAGTTCTCACACACTGTTTCATTCGAAGCCAGATATTCAAATTCCTCCAGCTACACATGATGGTCGCGTTGTTGCTTCTATTCTCTTCAGTGATCCACATGATGTTATGACGGCTATGAAAATGTACAAAGCGTCAAATGATCCAGATCTTTTTAGATTCAGTCAATTCAAAATTCACTTCGTACCCGATATTGATCATATCATTGTTCTACATATGGCGCTAGTGCAGGCCATACCTCACATTATCGAACAAGCTATTAAAAAGATCAAAGATCATCCTCGTTTACCTGATATACGATTAGTCGAAGAGCTTACCTGTGAAGATAATCAAGAGATCAAGCGCATTACGATCAAAGGAACGAACTTAGAACAAATCCTTGAAGCACGCATCATTTTTGATAAACTGATGAAGGGTGTACCATTCAAGTTTCACAGTCCATCATGGGTTCGTCTTCTGTTTATGTATTGATTTTTTAGATTTCAGGAAGCTGACCAAACTTGAAAAATATCCGAGACACAAATCTGAACCGTTTCGAAGAAAGGTCCAAGGAGAATTTTCAAGAATGTTTGCTGATAGCTTATCAAAAAACCATATTAAATAAATAAATCTAGGATATCTCGATGCTCATTCAAAACTATAAATTAGTATGCGAAGATTACATCAATAGGAATGAGGACACAATGATCTTTCTTAAGATAATATCGTTCACAAATATAACATGAAGGCTGCTATTTTAGGTGTCAGTCATTTTCAATAAAGCTGGTAAAAGTTTTCTTGAAGAGTTACAGAATCGTACGAGTACCTACATCTGGTGGAACTGGTCATCAATGTCATTGCGTATTTTTGGCGACGATAAAGCAATCAAAAAGGTGTATCAAGCTATTGACAATTACATTCAAGAAGCACTCCCTCGCCTTAAACATTCTATTTCTATTAGAATTCCTAAAGGTCTTTAGTAAAATATTTATGATTTTATTGCTATTTTCGACTAGTGACTTTCTATCCCAATTTTGTAGGCTGTGCTCATCAATGTTCAGAGAAATCCAGTGAGATTCACCAACTGGGCAATGAGAAAACCAGAATTACTATCAACATGATTCAGCAACGGATATTAATTAGTGGCAGCCGCGATGGAGCAATGGAATGCGGGAGTAAAGTTAAAAGTTTTCTTGAAAAACTCGTACCCACACTTATAGGTTTCGCTACTACTGTTGCGAAGGCTACCATGCCAACGGACACTGAGAATATATGTCCTTTATGTGCTGACAACTTCAACTCACCCTATTCATTGCAACAATGTGGACATACTTTCTGTCATTCGTGCTTGAATGATTATTTCAGTTCTCACCTTGACACAACTATGAGTTCTGATGCATTCAAACTGCGTTGTCCAGAAACTGATTGTAATCAAATGTGCCTCATTCGTGATATCCAGTCTATACTCGGTATCGAAGCGATAGCACGTCTTGCAACAATTGCTTATCAAATTTACATACGAGAACCCAAACATGACCTTGCTCAGTGTGTGGGCATTAATTGTAAACAGGTAAGACAAATCTCACAATATTAGATGAGTTCCGATGATTGATATTGAAATTCGATTTCACTCTCCAGACAACTTCTTGCATTAAATATAGAAGATATAGAAATAGATATACTCATTCTATATCAAATGGTCCATATTTTGAATAGCTTCCCCACACCTATAATGCAAGAGGTGCTTATATGAATTTCGGGCCCAATAGTTCCCTGTATCTTTTCAACCTCTTTTATTTTGATTTATTTAATCTCCTTGGTACGCAATTGATCTTTTGAAGAAGCCGTTAGAGGATGTCATTTAACATGCTAAATTATTAAAAACTAGCATTTACTTTATTTTGTTGTCTCAACGTTAGACTTGTGCTAGATATTCGAATTATTTTATTTATGTTAGGTTTATCGCCGTTCAACAAATCCCTTGACTTATTTCTGCGATCAGTGTATAAAGATCTATTGT